TGGTATGTTCTGAGAAGATTAAGCCATATTTGAACTCTTTTGGTGATAATTGCTTAAATATTGATTAAGGTTTCAAAAATTGATAAATGAGTGAATTAATGCGTTAATCTTGTGAATTTGTGAAGGTAATTGATGTATGAAATTCATGCACAAGTTCAAAGGAATATAAGGGTCATCCAGAGGACAAAGTACACAAGAAATTGGGAGCAAAAAATGAAGAAAAAGAGAAGAAGTGAAAAACTGGAAAATTGCTCAACACGGATCCGAGCTCGGATCCGTGTGTATAAGAGGGATCCGACCCCTCGTCTGTACTTCTGGCGGAGTGTATCCGAGGTCAGGACGATCCGACCTCGGATCCATCTTGTGCAGACCTCGGATCCTATAATCCGAGCCCGGATCCGTGTGTATAAGAGGGATCCGAACCCTCGTCTGTACTTCTGGCGGAGAGCATCCGAGGTCAGGACGATCCGACCTCGGATCCATTATGAAATCCCTCGGATCCTGAAGATCCGAGCTCGGATCCATTTTCACTCCTCGGATCCGAGGCTCGGATCTGTCTCTCTCCTCAGTAAGTGCAACAGCCGTTTTTCTTTACCTTTCTCACAACTTTTCCAACTATTTTGAGGGACAGAAATCGGTGGCACATGCTTCTGCAACAAAAGAGAAGACCAAATGAGTGTGGGCAAAAAGGAAACATCATATCTTTGACTTCTTTTACAAAATCTGAGTGGAGGAAATTATGAAGTGAGAGGAATGGAATTTTGACTAGATTTTTATGCAGAAAGCAGGGGAGAGGTCTGGATTACCATACGTAGCTAGTTTTTCATTTTGTAACAGGTTTCTCTCTAGTTAGGAGTTCTTGGAGAAGCACTTTGTCTTTGGAGTTTTTCACTTGTAATCAGATTGTGCAAGAGCATAGGAGGAATTAGAGAGCTTCACCTTCAATTGGCTAAGCTTTCTTTTATCTTTCTTATACTTGTACTTTATGAGGTTTTGCATTAATAAACTTGTGAGTTTGATTGTTAAATCATTCATGAGTAGCTAAACTCCTTCATCTAGGGAGTGGATGAAACTTATGGCTAAATAGTATAAATTGAATGTGATTTACACTTGTTATATCTTGTATTAATTTGTCTACTTGTGTAGCTGTGATTACTTGCTATTGATTGATCACCAATAGTTTGGTTATAGTTGTTATTGTTCAATGAGAATTGGTAATAACAATGGAAACACATGAGTAGAGCTTGAGTTGTATGTTCATGAAATAGAGATACACTTAGGTGGATTACTTAGCATTTCATGAAATAAAACTGAGTAGTAGTAGTATTTCACCATGAAAATTGGGAAATCTATATTGCTTTAGGCCATTTCATCATGAAAATGAGACTTGGAAACTTTGGAAATGAATCTCTGGTTAAGCAAGAATAATAGCAAGAAGTAAATCCATTTATTTGTGTTGTTTATGCCATAAGTGGAATCTACATCCCTAGAATCTTCCTTAAGTGAAATTTCTCTATTTGCATTCAGCATTTGTTAAACTAGATTTGTATATCAGATTTGTAGATTACAGCATTAGATTTTCTCTGCTCAAATTAATGGTTAGTCTAAATAATAGAGAAAATAAGGGTTTAGTAATTGTTTGAATTGCTCCTCGTGGGATCGACCCGATATACATCTTGTACTACAATTGCGACCTGTATACTTGCAGTCCAACGGGTGTAAAATCGGAATTAAACTTGTACGTATGTAAAATACCCGTCATCTAGTCTCCGTTCTAACGCAATTTTCAGATTTTCTTTTGTTCGAGGAGCCTTTGACCATGAGAGATATACACACTGAATCACACGAACCACTGCTGCAACTACTTGTAGCGACCAACCAAAGTATAAAAGCAAACTTTGGAACATGTCTTTTACCCCATACCAAATTGAACCACTTCACTGTGTTCCAAGGATAGAACAATTTCTTCATTGTATTTTTGCAATTCCAAAACACAAAACTTTGCTACCTTTAATTAAGAAAAATATCCAAATGCATAAAAAATGGTTATTTTTTTTAAAAATCATTAATTTATCATTTTTGAAATTTAAGCATTGGCGCCTGTCAAATTATTTTAGCTTTCTCGATTAGAAATTTTTTTTTATTAATTATTATGTGAAAATGAAGGTTAGAGAGTTAAAAAAAACCCTATATTGCAGCACTAGCAAGCATATTTGCATGGTCATTCTACAAAAACCTCCTTGAGCGCAAAATTAACCTCATTGTCCACGATAACATAGCTACGTATGTTGCATTCCAGACATGATCAGAGGAAGAATTAATCGAATTGATGAGTGTATGTTAGCAAAGGGACGTAAGTAGTGACGGAACCAGAAATTTTTTTCTTAGGGGGGCCAAAATTTTTCCTAATTTTTTTTAATATGCTATGTTCAAAATAATTTTCATCTATTTAAATATATGACATCTAAAAATATCAAATATTATCTTTAATTACAAAGGTACGTCTATTTCATAAATATGCAGCATAGTCATAACGAAAATTAAGGCAAAAAATAAACTTTGATTAAATATCTTATTATATTACTTTTTTTTTGTCAAACAAATATCTAATTATATTACAAACCACCCAACTTACACATTATGAGAAGGTGCTCTGATATGTTGCCTATGCAAAAAATATATATATATATATATATATATAACCATGCAATATAAATATAACTATTTTTAATTAAAAAAGATAAAAGTTATATTAACATACACTAAAATTTTAACCTCTTTCTTAAAAGTAAATTGAGCTTTACATTCTTTTTAGAAGTAAATTTATCTATGATTGAATCAATGCTAAATTTTTCAACAACTTTTTTTTTTCTATGTACACAATAAGGCAATCATTCAAGAAATTATTTTCCATCTTGTTTTGGAACTTTGTCTTAATTATCTTCATAATTGAAATGCCTGTTCTGTAGTTACAGTTGATACATGAGGAGTGAAAACGAATCTAATCAATTGAGCTAAATTGTATATTTGTATATGAGCCAATAAAGTAATTACTTTGTTTTATCCCATTGATAATTATGAATTGGGTCTTTTATTATAATATATCAAATTCGGTCAATTTACTATGGATTATTGATTATATGTTTACTTTTTTGAAAGTTAAATAACTAGCACAATGAAAAATAAATAACTTTTTTTTTGGAGAAAAAAGTAATTTGAAGGTGGCTAATTCATATATATATAAACTCTCATAATATAAACTAAAATTGTGAAAAATAGGGGGGGCCAACTTTGCTTTACACGCATATTTACACACTATGAATTTACACACCATCAAGCATTCCAATAATAAAGTTTTAAAATTTTCATTTTACTATTTGTGTATCTTGATAATTTTATTGAATGATTCAATGATTTTGCAAAATACCAACTTAATCTCAAACTCAATTGATAACTAATTGAAATGGGAACAAGAAATAACAATTAGCCTAATTTGCATATGGTATACATACCCTATATTTTAATGGGTTAGTTAATTGAGTTTAATTATCAACACAAGTAAAGGAAAAATTTTAGAACTCATCATGAATTAAATTATTCATAATGCAAAACAATAAATGCACATATTATCCCAATTTTGAGACCAACTACGTAAAACAAAATAAGTCTAAGATGATGGGATGAATAAATAAAATAAAAATAAAAAAAACAATAAAAAATTTTATTGTTTTTGCATGTTTTTTAGCGCAATTTTGATCTAGTTCATATCTTGTTTCATCCTGAAATGCTAAATATCACTATTCAAAAATTGAAGGACCATAATGATCTAAATTCGAAACATTAGGGACAAAAAGTGCAAAGTCAATTCTGTTAAGCATTCAAATTAAGCATTCAGTTACGATTCTTGTGCTGAAAAAAATACATACAAATTCAGCACCACTTAATAAGTTCAGCAGGTGAATTTTTATTTATCAAACACCCACAACATCTGAATGTCTGAATGAATTCAGTTTCAGCACTTTTTTATGTTATCAAACAGGCACTTAATCATTCACAACGATCTTCCAAAGAATTTAACAAGACTTTTGCCTTATATTTCAACTTATGTTGCTGATGAAATGAGAATCCCAGTTCTGTCATTTCAACATGTTATTTAATAATTTTTCAAGAATTGATTAACAAGATTCGTATGATGTTATTGAAACTTTTTTGGTCCTCCAACATCTCCAGGCCTACTGTAGTTTCTGAAACTCTTGAACCATATCAAGTTTAGGAGCACATCCCTAATTATAGATGCTAAAATAATGAGATTCCTAAGATTCAGTGTAGGCTTGTAGTTCATACGGTAAAATTTGCTTTCAGGACTTGTGTGCTTGTAAACTAGGTACTTGGAAAGAATATGAACATGAATCCAAGTATATATTAAGATGCTTAAGTTTTCTGCAGGCATATCACTTTGTACAATATAAATATATCCGAAAATGGGAAAGAAAACAAAAGCTGATGTCTAACTCAGTTCATTTGCATAGGGATATATTTTGGCAATTTTCATTTTGGAATCTGAGGTGCACACAAACTTGTCAGAGAAACCATAAAGCTAACATCAAACAATCCCCAGTTGGAGATCCTATGGAACTAAACAATTCCCCAGTCGCCCATATAATCCCATATAAGGATTTTCAGACCAGAAACTGCTATCAGAAAGTAATTGATTTTGTCTAGACACGATATGTATCCTCTGGTTACTGCTAGATGCAGCCTGTTAAGCGATTGTTTTATCTGGTATTACGTAATGGCTTTTTTGGGTATAACTTGTATGTCCAGCAGTGGATATCAGTACCTTGAGCCATAGTTTTCATCAGTTCTGAAATTCAAGCTGAGGAACACAGTATAATTTTTTATTGAAAAAGGAGGAGAGAGATTTGAGGTTATAAATTTGCGATCATTTCAGGTATTTCTCCCTGGCCAAATTTTGTTTTTTACCACAAGACTGGGAAGATATGGATTCCTGTCTAGTAATAACCAGTTATTTGTTGCAAATCTCTTGTAATTCTGAAGAAGAGGTGGAAAGCCCATTTCCTTCTCTAACATCAGTAGAACTTCTGAAGCCACGCGGTACAAAGTTGAAACGTTTGAGGGATTCGCAAAACCTCCTTGAAGTGAGCCCTGATATCCCAAATAATTCTTGTAGCTTTCAATCCTCGCCGACTGATAAGATTATGAAATTTGAAAAAGCACGGCTGGTTCAATTAAAGTCCAAGAAGGCAGATGTTCTCTCCAGTGTAAAAGGTTGCTTTAGAGGTCAATGCGGTGTATCTTCCAAAGTTGCTCAAGACTTGGAACTTGCACTGTTAGTTCAAGCTGCAGCTGAGAAAGTTGAAGATGAAAAGTTTGTTTACGCCAGAAAATTGCTGAATATGTGCGATGTCTTAGCTTCTAAAACTGATAATTCTGTTCAAAGGGTTGTATACTACTTTGCTAAAGCACTTAACGAGAGAATTGATCAAGAGTGGGGAATAATTTCATCAGACAAACTTAAAAGGTCAAGAATGGTTGCCAATGGTTGAGGAGCTGGATAATATTTTTCTAGAACCTGTGATCATGTCATGTCAACAGGAAGTCCCGTTCTGTCTGGAAACACAATTCATATCAAGTCAACCCATACTGGAAGCTGTGACATCAACTAAGAAGGTTCATTTAATAGATTTTGAAATTGATAATGGTTCGCAGTGGACACTGATTATGGAAGCTTTTGCTGTCCGTCATGAATGTCCTCTTGAACTTCTCAAGATTACTGCCGCTGGAACCTGTGAAGAAACCATGAAAAAGACTGGCAAACAGTTGTCATCTTTTGCTTAGACCATTAACTTACCTTTCTCATTTAAGGTAGTTGCGTCAGACCTCAAGGACCTCAAGGAAGAATTCTTTGATTTAGAGGCTAATGAAGCTGTAGCAATTGACTTGGCATGCCAGCTTTGGTCACTGTTAGCATGGCCTAATCATTTAGAAGCCTTGATGGCAGTGATCCAGAATCCCAAGCCATGTTTTCTCGTGCTCAAGGAAGTGGAGGTCTGTACAAATGCACCAAATTTCCTGGAACTTTTCAAAGAAACACTCCTCTTTATCAGCGGGCTAATTGATTCCATGAATTCTTGTATGGAAAAGCACATCCTGTATAGAAAACCGGTAGAAGAAGTTCACTGGTGGGGGATGATTCATGATGTTCTCACAGCTGAAGGTACAGAGAGGACTCTGAGACATGAAAGAATTGGTTTCTGGAGATTCCTTTTCAAAAAGTTCGGTTTTGTGGAATCAGATCTCAGCCAAACATCAATATTGCAAGCAAATTTGACACTTAAAAGGTCTGATCAGTTAAGGCCTGGTACTTCGGTTATGGATGGGAAATCTCTGATCTTCAGATGGAACGAAACCTCATTTCAATCTATCTCTGCATGGGAGTTCCCCTCTGATTAAGAGTTATTGGAGCTGTGCAGTATTACTAATCTTTGCTAGCTGATTATGTCTTCTCAGGAACTTACGTCTGTAATTTTCTTGACGTGTTTTCTCTTTTTCGCAGTCAGAAAACTAGGCTTTTTAGCCTGAAGCTTGGATCAAACCAATTGGAACTCTACTCAAGCTTGGTTGATTAACAGCTGATACATATATGTAGTGATCTGGTAAACCAAACAAACAAACTAATCTAGAGTTTCTAAATAGATGACAAGATCAATTCAGCAACCTTAAATTCTAGCTTGGGAGGCATTCTAGTTTATAATTAGACAATGCCAAGTTGAACTCTGTGTATTTAATAGAAAGCATATTATTTCTGATTCAAGTTTGGAAAATGCTCTATTGATATCTGAATAAAGTCTGATGAAGTTTGACTTGGATGCTTAGTTAGACATGATTTGCTAACTTTAATGGCGAAACCTAAATATCAAGCAAATATGATTGTTGTTCTAATCACAAATATTGTGAGTTATGGACCCAGATGCACCAGGTTGAGTTATAACGGCAACATGTTAATAATAGAAAGCAATGTTTTGGATCCTTAAGAGGCTGCAAAAAATGGAGTCTTTGTGGATTTGGAGTTGCATTTCTGTCTGGCTATCAATTATTCAATGTCTGTATACATAGATCAACTATTCGTTAGGAGTTTAGAAACTCATCTATTGTCAAGTTAGGCAACACTGACATGAGGAAAATCAGCTTCAATTTCAGAAAAAATTTGGGGAGGTGATTTGTAATTGTTTAAGACTCTATTCAAAAAGAGTAACGATTTAAAAATGTAAAGGGTATGTTGCTTGGGAACCCTAAACTAGGCCTCTTAATTGGGCCATATGAGTTGAATTTTCATAAGTTCAGACTCAACTCATTTAATTTGTAATACTTTCAGATTTGAGCCATAAGTTTTGGATTAATAAATGTGAAATTCATACTCAATTCACAAAATATTTGGGTTTTGAGCCTTGTTTGGGTTTAGCCCAAACTCACTTATTACTTTTCAATTTTCTCAATATAATTACTATAACTATTAAGTTGTAAAATTAATTTAATATTCACAGGATTTTACAACATTAAAATTAAACATGAGCAAGTAATAGTTCTTAAAAAGTACATAAATAAAAATTTTTCAACAATATTTATATCTAATTCGTTTAAAATACATGAAAGATAGTAATAAAACATGCGGTCATAAGTTAATGCATCTTCAAAAGTTGGAACTTTTTCGTAGCCTTGTAACTTAAATCCAAACATCTTGATGATTTGTGTTTCTAGACCAAAAAGAAATCAACCAATATTATGCCAATATAAAAATTTACTCAACTAATAAGAAAAGTTAGAGTTTCAGTTATGCATTATCAATATTGGCTCTCAAAAAAACTAGTAGAGGAGTCTTCAGATGTATTTTTGTGTTTTGTAATTTGTATATATTTAGTATTTAGTAATAATATATTTGAATATATAATTATATACAATATCAAAATATAAATATTATATATATAGATAATTAAAAGGCCGGACCTATATCTCGTTTGAACCTAATGAGGCCCAAACTCGGCTCATATTTAATTTGGGATTATTTTTAGGTCCAAACTCATACCAGCTCACTAAAAGGTCGGGTTCACCAGACTTTTTCTTGGCTGAATGAGCCGAACTCGGGTTGGTCCAGCTCCATTGACAGTCCTACCCTGAACTATTTCTTTCGTCAGTTTTTAGCCCTTTATATCTATTGCAAGTTTCAAAATTGACCCTTGGGTTAAATACAAAAAATACCCCCTTTAATTTAGTGAATGTTCAACTTACTTCCTTATTATTTAGAAACCTACAATTTAGCACATCATGGTTTGTAAGTTTTTAAAATAGTGATGGAAATTGTCATATCTAACGTTGATAAGCAAAATGTCACAGTTGTCCCCATACAAATAAATGAATTAAATACCAAAACTTCCCATGTGGTTTAGTCAATATTCAGTTTACCTTCCCATGGTTTAAAAACCTACACAATTTTAGCCTCTCATGGTTTATAAGTTTTTGAAATTAACACTAATAGCTTTTTCGTGAAGTTTATATTGATATCCCAAATCCTTAGTTCTGCCACCGCCAAGATAACTTGAAGAAAATATTCCTGAAGACATAAGAAAATGTTTTGTATTTTTTTCTTTACTACAACAATAAAATAGATAACTCACTGTAAGCTAACTAACAATATTCGATTATAAAATATAAAGTTTTTTTATCTCTTTTTCTAATTCACACACACCCAAAGTGAACAAGCAAACATAGTGTGCTTGGTTAAAAAGTTATTTGAATTTTTTTTGGTAATAACTGTGTAGCAGTTTTTCTCATGTGATTTATATAAGATAAAGAAATGGTTGGAAAACATGCTTATAATATAAATGAAAAATGTTAGCCAATATATGAGTTATTTGGACAAAATTTTCTCTCTCCAAATTTATTGCTTTCTCTTCTTCAAGTTTTGACCAATGATAGACTACGGTTGAGTATTTTTATTTTGGCAATAGGTGTAATGGACACATTAAGTCATATTTTTGTGTTAAAAATATGTTTTACCCAACCAAGTCTCGCCAAACACATATTTTTCACAAGTCGAGATAGTTCTGATGATTTCTCTTGTAAATTAACAAATTTACTAACAATGAGGGATTATATTGTAGGTTTTGAAACGATAATATTCGCTAAACCATAGGGGATCTTTTGGCATAAGAGGTGAAATGGGCGTACCAAGTCATAATTTAGTGTTAAATATTAGTTATTATCAGCACCAGGTGGAAGAGACACACATTATTCGTAAATATGGTTAGTTCTAATTATTGAAATGGACTAAAGGACCAAATTTTGATACTTTTCATTACTAAGGGGTCAATTTGAGACTTTAAATAGACGAGGGGTCAAAAGTTAACGATCAAAAGTTTTGAAACACTCTAAGTAGTTTGTCCAAATGTAAACAAGCTAAATTAAAATCTCGCAGTCTAACAATTAAATAATACGAGAAAAGACTAGTAATGACAAAATTAATGTACAACAGCAAGTTAAATTGGCTCAAGGGACATATTGTTTAGCCAATACAGTGTAAATGCTAACCGAGTGTGTAAACTGCATGTCATGCTCAACAAACACTGGTTAAGTATATATACTTAAGGGTAAATTACACTTTACCTCCTGTAATTTAGCATTTTTTACATATCTCTCGTATAGTTTCAAAAGTTATACATAATACTCTTGTAGTTTTGATTAAAGTATCAAAGTGACGAAATTGGTCCTTTGTAATAGAATCAACTGAAATGTCAAGATTACCTTTGTCTGGAATATAAAATGATTGAATTAACCAAAATATAAATGTAATATGCACGACATTTTAATCCTTTTTAGTTTAGTGTTTTTTCATATAATTCTCTCATGATTCTCAAAATCTATCCATAAACCTGTTATGGTTGACGAATAATTTCCATCTTCATATAGAGGTAATTTTGACATTTTAGTTGATTCATTATGGATTTTGTAATCTCATACTGAGCCCAAGCAAGTCCCTTCCATTCTGCTATTTCTGACTGACTCCAATAGTATATTTTGGCTTTCACTTCCAAATGACCATATGTTAAAACCTTAACACATCCTCGGTTCCTCTATCCAACCATAAAAGCTCAAATTTCTATCAACACATAATAGCTCAACTACCCAAAACATAAAACTTTTTACTCATATTCCCCAAAACACAATTTTCAAGGAAATTACAACTGATAGAGAACTTAATATGCATCTAATTGTAGCAAAATATTGTGTTAATTGATGGATTCCAATTATATTTTGTGTTTGGTGATGTTTATAAGAGTTTGAGACTAAAAATAATTTAAAAGTCGAATTTCCAGAAGACTGCTGTGAATATGGCGTGGGCATGTTCCTGGAGCTTAGGAAGTTCGGAGATCAGCGGGATTTACATCGCTTGACGGAATTATGCACCACCTATGCTGATCGCTTTTCTGCTGTTATCTAATGGGATATGGACTTTAAGTCGTATTAGTTTTTGGGAATTTTAATTACTTTTAAGATTTATTTTAGCTTTATATCCTTATCAGGAAAGTATATTTTTATCTCTATGGAAACCAATCACTTTTAAGATTTATTTTAGCTTTACATCCCAGCTAGGAAAGTAGTTTATTTCAATTAGGATTCTATTGGGAAGACAATTGGATATGTAGGCAAGAGAGACACAGAAGAGAAGTCCTATTAGTTTTTGGAACTTTTATCCCTATGGAAACCAATTACTTTTAAGATTTGTTTTAGCTTTATTAGTTTACTTTAATTAGGATTCTGGGAAGGCAGTTGGATACATGGGCAAGAGAGACGGAGAAGAGGTCTACTTAAAAGAAAAAAAAAAAAAAGGAGATTAATTGGCTAGCATTTTCATTCGACTTTTTCCTCTTTCTCAACTGCTCTTGTAGGCGATTCTCTTCTTCCCTTCGTAGTCAATATTGTTATTTGTCTTTCTTTTCTTCTTAGCAACATTTCCTCCATAAAGAGTGGCTAAACACTTTTTCTAGTTGGAGGATAATCGAAACTTTGATTCTACAATAATTGTGAGAATCAATTTAATTTAATTGTTTCATCTATTCATGAGTATCTATATACTCTCTATACTTTCTTGACATGGTTATTTTGCACAGTTGAATAACTAATCACTAGAAGTCGATATGTACATAAATCACAAAAAATACAAATATTCGTTGTTCAGAAAGAAGGAAAAAGATTTGAAGAGATAAATGTTCAACATGCAATCAAAAAGTAAGAAAATTAAATACACTCATACAAGCAGACGAGTTTGGTGAGAAAAAAAATTTAGTATTTAAATGAAAGTCACAAAATTAGAAACACTACATGCATAAAAGGTACAAAAATTTTTTGAGAAGAGAAAAGCTTAATAGCTAAATAAAGAAAATTTGAAAAGACTTAGCGTGTTAAAGTGAAAGAAATCAAATTTAATGACCAGAAATTTAATATCTAAATAAAAAAGGATAAAATTCAGGATAGTCATAGTATAAATTAACTAAAAGAAATCGATAGAGAAATATATAATATGTAAATAAAAATCATGAAAAATTAAACACTTGTGCTATGAATGGAAGGAAAGGAATTTGAGGAAATAAAAACTAAATACACAAAGAAAACCAAAAATGAATGAAACGATTGTAGTTGATAAATGATTGAAAACAACTTGATGACTAAAAAAAATTTAACATTTAAATAAAAAATTGATAAAATTGGAACTTTTAGTGTCAATGGAAGGAAAAGAATTTGAGGTTATTTTAAGGGCATTGTTGATCGAAATTTTTGGTGGTCATAATAAAACATTCTTCTTGGTGTAAAGTGTATATTGTTCGCATTTTGAATTGCTTCTGACTGACAAAATTTTTTCTCACCAAATTCTTTTGCTTGTATGAGTATGTTTAATTTTCTTTCTTTTTTTTGTTTGGATATTGAACTTTTATCTCTTCAAATCCTTTTCCTTCTTTCTAAACAATGAATATTTGTATTTTTTATGTACATATTGACTTTTAGTGATTATTATTTAATCATGTCAAGAAAATATAGAAAATATGTAGATGCTCATGAATAGATGAAGCAATTCAATTAAATTGGTTCTCTCAATTATTGTAGACCCAAAGTTTCGATTATCCTCGAATTAGAAAAAGTGTTTAGCTACTCTTCATGGAGGAAATGTTGCCAAGGAGAGAAGAAAGACAAATAACAATATTGCCTATGAAGGGAACAAGAGAATGCCTATAAGAGCAGAAGAGAGAGAGGAAAAAAGTTGACTGAAAATTCTAATCAAATCTCCTTTTTTTCTTTTCTTTTAGAGTTAATCTTCTATACAGTACATACAAAATTTGGATTTCAAATTGAAATTTAGATTATGTGTCATGCATCTAATGGTAAAAGTATATATATTATTAGTATACATAAAATTAATCCTTTTTTAAGTAGACCTCTCCTCCGTCTCTCTTGCCTATACATCCAATTGTCTTCCCAATGGAATCCTAGTTAAAGTAAATTAATAAAAGTAATTGGTTTCCATAGAGATGAAAGTTCCAAAAACTAATAAGACTTCTCTTCTGTCTCTCCCTCGCCTATTTATCCAATTGTCTTCCCAATAGAATCCTAATTGAAGTAAACTACTTTCCTAGCAAAGATATAAAGCTAAAATAAATCTTAAAAGTAACTGGTTTCCATAGAGATAAAAAGTAATTGGTTTCCTAGCAAGGATAATATCTCTGTATTCTAGAATTTTTTTCATACATATGTCCGCAGGATTTTTCTCTCATGTTCTAGCACAATTTCGGCAACGTAAAGGCCAGGTAATAACTTTTCCATGAACAAGCCCCATCTATATCTATGGAATAATGATCGACAATTACTGGGATGTTTTCAATTTGCTTGATAAAATTCTTAAACTTAGTTTGGAATTTAATTTGATTCATGTATATTTGCTTCTTTTCTGCAACGTTATCAAGCTAGTGTTAGATTCATAGCCTTTTTGTTCTTTTTCTTGCTTCTTTTCTGCAAGATTTTCAAACAGAATTAGCAGCATAACTTAAGTTGATCCATACTTCATTAAATAAAAATCGGTTCTGTAATTCTGCATAGCAGGAAATCGTTATATATGGAGTTCTCCGTTGATTTTGTAATTCATGCTTTAGTAATTTTATGCTTGGTTGATTGTTGAATGGTTTGGATAGCGCTTTTTTTTTTGGAATGGAAACAACATTTTATCCCTAATACACATTAATTAAGGAAAAAAAAGTGCTTGAATATAATTATTTTAAACAACTCTAATCTTAATTCTCGATTTCATTCTATAAGGACACATGAAAGTTAACCAATACTTTTTTGAACTGGGCTTGTGCTTATTCATGATTGAATCTGAGCAGATCTTAATTGAACTCCCATATGAAAATTTGATTTTATTGTAAGGAGACAAACGAGTTGAGTCGAGTCGAGTTAAAATGTTGGAATCTCAGTTCTCATTGAGCTTCTAAAACTTGTTGAGTTTGAATTCAATATGAGTTTAGCTTACTAGACCTCATATTCGAGTTTGATCAATAATAGCTCTTTAATCAAGTTCAATTATATGCTCAATCAAGCTTAAGTTATATGAACTAATAATTTATATAGTTATAAACAAGAGATATGATTGAGATTTCACACTAATAAATATAAAAAATAAGAATATATAATTGTGTTTGAAGATCAATTGAGTTTGATTAAACTCCAAAAGCTTTCGAGCATCACATACAATAAAAAGGCCTGAGCTCAAGTTCGTCAAACTACTCGAGCTGCTTGAATTCGGTTTCAAACTCAGTCAACACAAGCTGAGTGAGTTTTGGAATGCTGTAAATTAACTGTTCGCATAATTTGTGTGTTCGAATGACCACATTTCTGCTTTGGGTGGTGGTAAATACTCACTTGGTGTTGGTGGATCTGTTTTTGGATCCGTTTTTATCTTGTCTCATTATTATGGTTTTCATTTGTTCATTTCGCATTAGAATGTGTTTGTGGATGCAACTTTTCTCTGAAGTGCTCATATTAGTACTATTCCTATTCACAATTGTGACACGAACAATTCAAGTTTATGACCTCCCTCTACTGTATTCCTTTGCTTTCATCAACATAATCATGGCTGCAGAAAGTAGTAAATGGATGCAGCAGAGATGAGTGCAGTAGATAGACTATCAAACCTTCCCATAAATGTCATCCAAAATATCATAGGATGCATGCCCATTCGAGATGCGGCAAGAACGAGTATTTTGTCGAGCAAATGGAGATATGTTTGGGCTGAATATCCAGAGCTTGTTCTTGACAAGCAATTCTACACGGAGATGGTGCGAAGCAAATCACCGATCCTCTTCCAGTCCGAATATGGAAACATAGTCAATGGAATACTTTTTCAACACCTTGGACCCATTCTGAAATTTGGTCTTGACATTCCAGAATTGCAGTCATCTCGATACTCCAATATTGATCAGTGGTTGCTATTTGTGTCAAGAAAGGATGTCACAAAACTCATTCTTCATAACAGAAGTCCTAATCGTTACAAAGTACCATCTTATGCATTCAGTTGTCCAAAACTTGCTGATCTAAATGTGACTGGGTGTATTTTCAGTGCACCAAAGGGCTTAGATGGCTGCAGAAAGCTCACTTACCTTTTTCTGACATCAGTCGCCTTCGAGTTCTCAGTCCTCAATTTCCCTCAGCTTCTTCAATTGACCTTGCTGTTCTGGAATCCATCTTTTATCTATATCTGCTCCATCACTTAAAAGCTTGACTCTTCTGGGCAACGATAGTCTGGACTTGAGCAATTATATCACCTGCAAAGACCTGGTAGTAGCGGGTATTGCATTTTCAAAAGAAGTTGAACATCATGAACTGGAAAAGAAAATTACTCTAACGAAGCTCCTTGGCTGTTGGCCCAAACTCAAGCGTCTTTTGTTTGACGAATCTTTTTTCCAGGTACTTGGTTATTTCTATTTGTTTCTGGTTTACACGGATGAGGTAGTTTGACCTTGAACATGTTCGATTTTTTAATGGATTTCATCTCATGTTCTACTTCATAGCATCTGGCCGCAGGTGATATCCCCCACAAGCTTCCAGTCGATCTGCTTAACTCCTTGGTATATATTATACCGATGGAATTCACTTATAAATGGGACGAGATCGCTTGCATTCTTTGCTTACTGCGGAGTGCATTGAACTTGTCTAAATTGGATATTTGGTCGGTAAGGACATTAGGCTTACGGTTTTTAACCCAATGAAAAGATGGAAGTGGTACTGATTTTGTTTTCGGAATGCATATAACAGAGTAATCGGATCAAATCTGACGAGAAAACACTCCAGCACTTGAAAGAACCAGGTCTGATGAAGGAAAGTTTGAATGGACTCAAGACTGTGATCATTAGAAACTTTAAGGGTTCAACAGCTGAACTGCTTCTTGTTAAGCTTTTATTAGCCTGCTCCCCGTCACTTGAAAGAATGTGTATTCAAGAGAACCAAGGCCTTGACCCAATTGAAAGGTTGAACATATCAAAGGAGTTGATGCAGTTTTCACGAGCATCGCCCAAAGCAGAAATGTTTTTCCGACCATTTGGTTTTGATTTCCATTGATGTTAGTTGACTGGATTTATTGTTCTAGTTTTGTTTTGGAAAGTTCCCTCTTATTTTCCTCTCGCGGGCATGTCCCAAAGTTTTCTCCTTTATCTCTCAATTTAATCACATTTAGTTTCACGAAAAGGACATGCATACATTATGAATAAACGATAATGTGAATCTTGCAAAGGCAATTAATATTTGATGTTACAGGCATAATTTTTGAAGGAGGAAAAGCAATATTGCAAGCCTTCAATTGCTAATAATTAAGTAATACCTAACACAATCTCACTAGTTTTTTTTATAAGGTGAACATACACGTAATTAAGTTCAAAGTGGAAAGGACTGAGTGTTATTAGGATTCCGCATAGTTGGATTCGATTGTTATGTTTTTTACATTATTTTGTACACAATTACATTAATTTGTTGATTTCATGGTAAAAATGGTGTGTGAAGAGGTGATTTTCGGGATCAATAGGCGGCACTAAAGCGCGGGAGTGAGCTCCTGAAGTGGATACTGCTTCACAGAAGTCACCTGCTCAAATTATCAGTGGTGGGGCTGAGTCCCCCGATTTTCCTCCGACGATCTAATTAGCTTAGATTGAGAGGGAATTTAGTGAGAGTTTTTGGGATAGTGTTTCTTACAGAGTATTTTTCTTGTCCCTTTTTTCTGAGTGAGATTTCTGCATTTATATGGGACAATTGGGAGGGAATGGCGGTAGGGATCAACTTCCCAGATCTTGGCAAACTGAGCATGTCAGTCTATCCCATCTAGGGATGGCAATGGGGGCGGGTGCCCGCGGGTGCCCGCCCCGCGGGGGGCTCACGGGGCGGGGGTTGGGGCGGGGGGTGGGGCGGGGGCGGGGGGGAATTTTTTCCCCCCGCTTAGAAACGGGCGGGGGGCGGGGTATACTCCCCCGCCCCACCACCCCCAAAAAAAAAAAAAAAATATATATATATATATATATATAAATGACTATATATTATATGTAAGTTAATTCGTTATAAACTTATGATAATGATATTATTAGTTAGATGTATTATATAATGTATATTAGTTTATGTAATATAATTGATATTATCAATTATATGAATAATTATACATGTCTACTAATAGAATTTATTAATTAGTTATACTAAATTTACTAATACATTTATACTAAATTTCTAATTACACTTAATAGAATAACACTTTTTTCTCATAAAAAAGCACAAACACAATGATGAATTAGTGATTGCATTTGTACTAAAAGTGAAAATCTGACTATTTTAGTTATATTTATTTCATCATATTGGATTGTATTCAAATAACTTCTGTTTGATTGTTTTTATGAGTTTCAATTGTAAAATTACAATGAATAATAATTTGGTGATGTGTTGATATTTTAATACTTGATTATTTATTAAAATTTAATTATAATAAAATTATATAATAAAATTTTATTAACCCCGCGGGTGCCCCCGCGAGGGAAGCCGGGCAAGGCGGGGCGGGGGCGGGGTGGGGCGGGGGGAGCGGGAGGCGGGGGACGGGGCGGGGGACGGGGGAAACTAATAGGCAACGGGACGGGGGACGGGGGAGGGGTCCCCCCGCCCCAACCCCGCCCCGTTGCCATCCCTAATCCCATCAGGTCTGTCAGACAGGCTTTATCAGACGTCTTGTTCCCTTGCGAGTGTCAGTCTGTGACCTGACCTCAGCTGTCCCATCAAACACAGTGGAACTTCATGGTGGCCACCGCGATGGCCGAGGTGATCGGGATGAATATTGGATCCTCAGGAGTATCCACCTCGGGTCGGTATGAAGAGGCCGAGGTGAAATTCGAAGCCGAGGTGGAATTTGGGGAAGGCGGAGCCTGCTTAATGAAGCTAGGCCGAAATGACCACCCTCAGTGTGCATGAAAAAAAAAAATGTTAAACACGTATTCAATATAACATTAAAATGTATTTATATACCAGAAATTTAAAAATTTGAGCATGTACAACAATAGGACAAAACTACGACAAACACAATCGCACTGAATCCTTATTTAACTCTACTAAGAAGTAGGATCAATTTCCACGAGATACAGGTGTAAGCAAATTGATCATGCCAATTAATCATATGCATCCTCGAGAAGAATGCTTCTTTTCATACATACTGATGATGCTTTAACGTAATTTACATAGAGCTAGGCCAAAAGATTCTGGTTCCATTTGTATTTTAATTCCTGTACTGATATCTTTGATTGGTTCTGGACTAAAAATTGGAGGAATATGGAACAATTGTTTCTCCTATGATCAGAGGAAGGAGGGAAAAGGACATCTGATAGCTGATATGTGTCAATGAAATTGATTGAAGGAAATTTTTACACAATGAAGGTTGTAATTTTTTTGCGTGTGCAATTGCTGGAGTGTTAATTTTAATTCCATCAGTTCAATATTTAAAAGTTTCTTTACTGTAATTTGATTGAACCCGTTCAATGTTTTTATTTTAATCAAATGCTTGAGAAGCTGAATATTCCCAGAAACTACTTTGCTATATTAATGGAAGGGAAAGAATTTAATGGAAACAATTACTGAATTATAACTCTTAGTATTAATGGAAGGGAAAGAATTTAATGTTATTGGAAGAGTAGATTTGTCCAAAAAATTTAATACTCAAAATAGAATTTTCTTCTCGGCATAAAGTTTAATTTGTTTGCATTTTGGGGGTGCTAAGTATAAGTAAGTCCCACATTCAGGGGTCAATCGGTAATTAACTCTTTGTGAAATAAACATTTCTAGTCCATTTAGATTAACTATTTTTGAAAGTATTTTTGAAAATTTTTATTATAACAGATTTTTTAAAATATATTTTGGGATATTTTTAAAAAATATTTTCAAATATTTAAGAATAGTAATATTTTTAAAATATTTTTGAAATATTTTAAAATATTAAAAAATTAGACTTTTTTTTAGAGTGTGTTTTAAAAATTTTTATAATCTTTAAAAAACTAATTTTTGAAAAAGGACCCAAACAGACTCATTTTTTCAAGAAAACAAAGCACAGGAGAAGATGTCCTTGTATCTTTTCGGGTTAGCAAGCTTTGACCATGCATACCCGATTGAGTTGGATCGGATCATCAATTACCCGACCCTATTTCAAATTCTATCCTTAATCTCCAAAAACCTCCTTATTAGTTATTACATCGTTTTTGTTTGCCGGGTTTCTGTTCTGCCTTCTGGGCTTCTTGAAGCAAAATTTCTGCAACTGAAATTCCAGGTGATTTTACTTTTCCATGAAGAACTCCCTTCTGTATCCATAGAATAATGACTTTCAATTGCGGGGATGTTTTCAATTTGTTTGATAGAATGAACCGCAGCTTGGTTTGGGATTTAATTGGTTCTCACTATTTCTGCTTCTTTTCTGCAATCAATGCTAAGCTAGTGATATATTCTTGATTTTTTTTAAAATTTTTGCTTCTTGTCTGAAAGATTGCAAATAGAATTAGCTGCATAATTTAGGTGGCGATCCATACATCATTTCTTCAAAATGGGTTCAAGTGTTTCAAGCTGAAAAAACTTCTTTAATCCTGTAAAGCTGCAAAAGTAGCATTACGAATTTCCCTTTTTTATACTAATTGCAAAATCAAAAAGACAAATCAGTAATTTCATTTGCTTATCCAATCCAAAAATAAAGTTTTGGAGTTTGGAGTTGGCAGCCTCTAAATTCTTCTCATTCCCTAACTGACCGATGGATGCCTGAATTCAGACACCAGTTTGTATAGAACATCCTCTTTGTGGTAGAAATCAAGAGCGATGAGCCAAAGAAATAAGCTGTTCGAATAATTGCTTTAGATGATTTTTTTTTTTGGGTTTGTGTGCAGGCATGGAAGAGCAATTTATACTACGGGTTCCACCTTCGGTAGCCGAACGGTTAGACCGTCTCTTGAGTGAAAATGCATCTTCATCTTCTGATGACAAGTCATTAGATTTAACCTTTTCTGGTGAGCAACTGATTTAGCAATCTGTATTCTTAAATTTGTGTTCAATTAATAAATTGAAAATGTACGTAAGAAGCATCAAGAAAGGATTTTATTAGGAATTAGTGCAATTCAATTATTTGGTTTAATTGAACGTTTTGCTATGCTTCTTCTTTATTCAGATTAAGGCATGTCAATGTTTGTTTGAAGCTTTTATAGTTTCTTTTCACTGCTGATGTTGCTTCTCTCGGTGCAGCTGAGCTGCTTTTTGGTAGTATTTTGTACTTAAGTGCAATCTGTTGTTCCCTGATGTTTGCTAATGTTAGTGTTGGCAATGTTTAAATTACTCACACCTGCATATATACATATTTCCTTTGGTGCTTTTGATGTTTTTGAATCTCACAGGACAGTTTGATTGGCTCGCTGAACCTTGATTTGAATAGTCCTTTTAATCTAAAAGTTGGTCACTTGTTTTCCACTCTTATCTTCTAAAGAGATTGCTTACCTATGTCAAACTTGGTTCAGTCGTCCTTTATACAATTTGTATAATAACTCTTTCCTATTAGATTCTGTCTTATGGTTGTAGTTTCCAACCTTGGCGCTTGACAGCCCACTTGGGCTTTTGGGGATTTCTTTTTTCATCAGCGTCCTTGAGTATCCTAGTAGATAAGGTTACGGAAAATCGGAGAAGGAGAGGGGCAATAGATATTAGGATGTTATTGGACCTTTTTCTATTATTGCTGCCATTCCTGCTGGGCTCAAGTTGTATCTCTTTGGTAAAAATTTGCCAGTTAGGAGACTAAAGAACTTGGTCAGCAAATTTGTCCAACCAAAATTGCATCTGTCCACATTGCCTTTTTCTTCAGAAATTAAGATTCAACGAGGTTTTAATTTTCTTCTGTCCCTATCCTCACTGATTCTCTTGAATGATGCATGATACCTTTTTCTTTTTGCTCTCTCTCTCTCTCTCTCTCTCTATTTATGCACACAATACACATGTATATGGTCCATACCAAATTCTTAATTAGTTACCTGATCTGGAGTGGTGGTGTTGTTCTTCTAGGACCTTGTTCTTATATTTGAAGTGTGGTCTTAACCATTTTCTTGAAACAGTTTTGGAAAATGGGAAGTAAGAATCAGGAAAGCAAATACACGTAAATGCACAACTTAAGCTGCCCATAAGCAGTCTAAGTTCAATTGACATAGGATTCATGTAACTTAAACTGCACATGAGCAGTCTAAGTTCAATTGAAATAGGATTCACATCTTTCAAGTGAAGATCTCATCTCTGTTGGAGAGTTGAAAATGGAAAGCTGGTTACAAATATTTGAATCTTTGGATAAGCCCACAACCAGTTTTTATCAGATAAATATTGGGAGGATGGGATATAATGTAATCAGATCACCAATATGAGTTTCATTTGGTAAAGGAGCATGGGCCAACAAATGGGTATCAATTTAAATCATGCATGTTAATGGTGATCAGAAGGATTTTATGTGAATTTGTATGTTGCTTTCATTTCCTTGATATATGCAAATGTGGCAGTTTGAAAATTATTCCCATACTTGAGATCAAATAATTTTACAAAGAAAAAAAAACGGAAAATACAAAAGGTTGTAAGAAAAACTGCATTTTCCAATTTCCGTCCTCCTTGTGGTCATGGTATAAATCCTGTCCTTCCATCTGCGCTCCTCACCCTATCTCCACAGCCCCTGCAATCTGTCTCTCTCTCTCTCTCTCTGCCTCCCACTTCCTCTCCCTCCCTTATTACCCTTCTGCTAGCTCTAGCTCTATGTTTTTTGCTTGTTGTGGCTCTTCACTAGTTGTGAAATTGCTGTAGTGGCCATTGCTGTCTTTCTCGATTTGATGCAATGGTTTAGTGGATCCACAATTTACTTAACATAGGGAGCAATTTGACATCTATGAATAAATTTGTTATTTTGTAGGTCGGTGGATCTATCATAGGTTGTAGTTCAAGCTTGGGACTTGGATTATTTTGTTTCTAGTTTTTGAGAAATTGTATGGCTGTTGGAGGTCTAGGGAGCTGAAAGATGTTTATTTTTTGGATAGTTTGGACATTGAAGTGTGAGTATTCACCATTGGCGTTATTGTTGGTCTCTTTTATATGATTTTCAAGGACTTATCTTTAATTGTTAATTCACAAAAAAAAAATTCATAAAAAGGAGTTGAATTGTGTAAAATCGGCCTCTTCAGATGGATGTGGTGGTTGATGGTGGCAGTCTCGTGCTACTTGTGGGGGGTAGGGGAAGGCAGACTGGTCAATGCTATTGGGAAAGGGGATAAGAAAGCCTGAAGGAAACTGAATTAAGAAATAGAGGTCATAAAGGAAACTTTTTTTGGGCAAAAATGCATAAAACCCGTTCCTAAATGTTCAATCAAATGCTTCATTGCCTTTGATAACACCAATGCTGATTCTCTAGTATATCATTCCAATCCAATTTTGACTCCCAAGTGGAAACAAATGGGCCCCATGGTTAATTCAGAGCTGATTGATATCATGATATGAATCATTGTCTTTTAACTTCACCAAGGATAATACATGTTTGAAATGCATTCAAGTGAATCCACAACTTTGTCTAATCATGAATAATGACGGTGAAATATTATTTATGTGTCAGTCCAAGTAACGACACAAACTCAAGATTCTGAATGTAAGAGATGAAACTGTGTCTGAATGAACACTTTCTCTGTCAACTGTTACAGCATGAAAAATTAGACTTGGTGGATAAATGTTAACGAATTTCTGGATATTGCATGAATTAATATGGTTTACATATTATTGTTTGCTATGCTGCCAACATTTAAAAGCCCTTCTCAATCCTTAATTGATTGGCATAAATTTTATTTTCTTCATCATCAATCTTCTTGAGGACTTGATTGATATTTTGTAGAGGATAGCAGAAGTGGCACATTTTCAGTAGGAAATGATCACTTCCCTGCATTTCTCTTGGATTTACCTGGCACTGTGGAGTCATACAAAACTTATGATGATAGCGTTCTGATTAAAACTGCAGATATTGGTCAAGTATGCTGTCTTCTTGTCAATTATTGTTTTGTAACATTCATGACATCTGGAGAGTTCTTAGTTCAATTTTGTAAAATTTGTGATGACTTGCAGATGATTATGGTGAAGGAGGAAGGTGACAATGTTCCAGATGAGGTGGAGTACAGACACGGCCTCACCCCTCCGATGAGGGATGCTCGAAGGCGAAGGTTTCGCAGAGAACCAGATCTAAATGTATGTGGCCTTGTGAACTGTCTCTTCTTCCAGTATACTCTCTCTCTCTCTCTCTCACACACACACACACACACACAGAAAAAAAAAAGAAAGAAAAAAAAGCTCACAACTCAGACAGAGACATACACAAAGATACATTATGGCTGCAATGGGTGTGAGAAAGTGGTTCATTGTCATGAAGCGTCAATCACATATTTTGTAACTGTAGGCATGTCTGCATGGATAGCTATATAAGTTCAACAATGAGTGCTAATATTATATTGGTTTTTACTATTTATTTAAGTGAGTTATGGTGCACTTGTGTCATTTTGCAGCCGGAGCTGGTTCGGCGTGCTGAGAAAGATTTGCAGAATATTATGGCTGGTGGAACCGCTGAGAATATTGATATCCTTCCAGTTACTCTGGCTTTCAGAATGTGAAGTAGTCAGCTTTTATGGACTTAATTGAGACTAGTGATTTGTTAAATTTTCTTTAGTTCATACTGTGACAGATGATTGTGTTGTACTTGCATAAGAGAATCCTAACTTGCCAAGGTAACTTTTCATTATTCTAGCTTTTTGTGTAATCTGATACTTTCATTTTGTTTGTTTCATTGTTAGATGTTACAGGGAGGTCGTGCGCATACAATTGAAGCAGGAATTCAGAATGCCACATTCTTTTAATAGTTACCATTGTGACTTGAGAGGATTGTGGAAGTTTATGTATGCTGCGAAACTGTGCATTCCTCAGATTTTTTTTTTCAAAAGTGTATAATTTTATCGTTGTTATTCCTTGACTAACTTACATGTTGAAGCCGTTGAGCACGAGGAAGATGGCGAGGAAAATGCTCGTAATGCAAGTAAGAAGGTGGAACCTAAGCCTCCAGAGAAGCCTGATGTACCTGAGGCTGAGACGGCTGGTGGGGAGCCAGACAGAAGCGATTCTGATGAGTCTGATGATTCAATGTGATGGAGGTCCTTCATTTAAGCTTAAGTAGGTGGTTAGACATACTATTTGCATATTTAACTTGTAGGGTCGTGGGTCATCATCAAATGTTTATGTCTAGGGGTTTCTAGTTAAAGGAGTTAAAAGTAGTTTATGGTTTGGTGTGCCCTGTTTGGATCTTGTAGTGTTGATAGTCTACTTGAGATTCAACATTTTTGTTGTATTTTCAAACATTGGATAAGTTGTATATACCAATAGGATGTTAGGTATCTAATGAGAGTGGAATCATTGTAGCTAAGGTATTCTGGCAGAGTTAAATTTGTCAGATGGGACATGGTCTGTCAACCCCTTTTTTCTTTGGGTGGGGCGACCTATACTCAAGGAAGTTGAGGACATTTACCTGTCTTCCCCACTGGGATGTTGTGGTGTTTATAGCTTTTTCGAAGTTCATTGTTTTGTTGTTCTAGTGCAGTGACTAGACTGATGGTTCTCGATCATTTGATAGGCAAGTAAAAGAATTGGAAGGAGTGCACTTTCCTTCCGGGACAAGTTTTCCTCCCAAACGTGGCCTGATTTGGATGGAAAGGTTAGGGATGTAATCGAGTCGAGTTGAGTTCAAATAGTACACTAAAGCTCGATTTGAGTTAAAAAATTGGGATTTGAACTCGAACTTGACTTTGTCGAGATCTTGAAAGTTAAGCTTCAACTCGATTTCGATTTAATTTGCATTACTCGAGTTTGAACTCGAACTTAGGCTTATGGAGTTCAATCAACCTAATGGAGGGTAAGAAATATAATTTTATATTTTATATAATTTTAAATAAGAAACAAAATTGATATTTCATACTAATAAATAAAAATAATAAAAAAAATTTATTTATGTGAAGTTCGATTGAATCTATTTAAATTAGATAAATTTTTTAGTTTTATATATTAAACTCAAGCTCAATTCATCAAGTAGCTCGAGCTGCTTGAATTCGAGCTCGAATTCGATCAATGCGAGTTTGATCTCGAGTTTTGATAAAGCAAGCTTGCACGCTATTCAATTAAACTCGACTTGTTTGCACCTTATATAAAAGCCAAAAGATGTAACTGTTTTTAAATGGCCTCTTTCCCCTTAATTACACACGGTCTACGCGTACGCGATATATTAGTCAAACATTTATTTCCCTTTCCAACCCCCCAAATGAAAAGAAATCGTCCTTTTTTCTTCTTTCCTAAACTTCCAAACAACTTTGAAGGAAACTTGTCTCTCAATTTTTTCTTTTCTTTTCTTTTCTATCTTAAACTCCCAAACTGGCCATAAATCTCCAAAACCTCTTTAGTGTATATATATTTTTTGCAGAGTTTCTCTTCTGGTTTCTGGGCATCTCGTCCGTGAAGAAGCCCCGTCTGTATCTATAGAACAATGATTCTCAATTGCCGGTATGTTTTCAATTTGCTTGATAGAATGAACTGGAACTTAGTTTGTAACTTCATTTGTTGTCACTATTTTTGCTTCGTTTCTGAAATTAATACAAAGAAAATGCTACATTCTTTATTTATTTATTTATATTTGCAAGATTTGCAAATAGAATTAGAAGCACAAGTACTTCTGTAGCGATGCATACATCATTTCTTGAAAATAATTGAAGGGTTTCGAGCTGAAAAAAGATCTTTTAATTCTGTAAAGCTTCAAAAACTAGTGTTCAGAATTTCCCCTTCTTTATAAGTTTTTTTTTTCTTTTTTTGGGGGGGTGGGGGGGTGGGTGGTTATGCTCCGGTACTTTATGGTTTTCAGATTCTCCAGTGGCTTAGATAGTGAAGTTATTAATTTTCTCTTTTTCCTTGGAGATGGATGGTGAGGTTTTTTATATATATGTTTGTAAAAACTTCAAATATGTTTTCCAAACACTTTTTTATCTCCCATATACATCTATTTAAAAAGAGTTCTAGAATTAAATTATTCTAAAACAAGCTTTGATCTTAATTTCGAATGTTCATATTACAAGAATACGTGAAAACTTATAACCAAATTTTTTGGTGAACTCAACTTGAGTTTATTCGTAATTGAATTTGAGTAGGCCTTAATCGAATCTCAATATTAAACTTGATTTTGCTGGATTACCACTATAATGGTTGGCTTGTTGCTGGTAATCTACGTCCAAACAAGTATAAATTTTCTAGTATTCCCTTGTTGCTAGGTTATGTGTAATCACGATATACATAGGAATGATGGCATAGCCTAGTTTTGGAAAGTTGTAAACTGTCTTTTCTCCAAACCTTAACTTGTGATGTTTGAATGACCGCACAGCAGCTTGGTGGATCTGTTTTCATCTTGTCTTTTTAAGATGATGGCTTTCATTTGTCCATTGCACATTGGAATGTGTGTGCGGATGTTGCTTTCTGCTGAACTGTTAATTTTAGTAAGGAGACAAGTACTGTTCAATTATATAGTCTCCTTCTGTTGTGTTCATTTGCTTTTATCAGCAGAATCATGACTGCTGATAATCGTGCAAGGGTTGCTGAGGAAAGGGGTGCAGTAGATAGACTCTCAAACCTTCCCATAAATGCCATACAGAATATAATAGGACGCATGCCCATTCGAGATGCAGCAAGAACGAGTATTTTGTCGAGCAAATGGAGATATATTTGGGCTGAATATCCTGAGGTTGTTCTTGACGAGCAATTCTATGCAGAGATAATGCGAAACAATTCACCGAACTTTTTCCTAACCGAATATGTAAACAAAGTCAATGGAATACTTTTTCAACACCTTGGACCCATTTTGAAATTCGTTCTTGACATTCCAGAATTGTATTCAACTCAATACTCCAGCATTGATCAGTGGTTGTTATTCGTGTCGAGAAAAGATGTGACAAAACTCATTCTTCATAACAGAAGTCCTAATCCTTACAAAGTACCTTGTTATGCTTTCAGTTGTCCAAAACTTGCCTATATAAGGGTGACTAAATGTATTTTTAAGGCACCAAACTCAGAAGGCTTCTTCGGAAAGCTCACTCACCTTGTTCTGGAAACAGTCACCTTTCAGTTCTCAGTCCTTAATCTCCCTCAACTTGTTCAATTAGAGTTAAAAAACTGTTTTGGCATCCAACTTTTATGTGTATCTGCTCCATCACTACGAATCTTGATTCTTCTGGACAATGACGATCTTGACTTGAGCTATTATATCACCTGCAAAGACCTGGTAACCGTGTACATTGGATTGTCAGATGGAGTTGAACATGATAAATTGGATAAGAACATTACTTTGACAAAGCTTCTTGGCTGTTGGCCTGAACTCGAGTGTCTTTATTTGAACGGATCATTTCTCAAGGTACTTGTTCGTTTCTGTTTCTTTCTGGTTAACATAGATGAGGTTGTTTGCACTTGAACATGTTCGAGTAATGGATTTCATTTTGTGGTCTACTTCATAGCATCTGGCAGCAGGTGACATTCCTCAGAGGCTTCCGATTGATCAAGTTAGCTCCTTGGTATATCTGACCCCATTTCGTATTACCTATCACTGTGCCGAGATTGCTTGCATTCTTTGCTTATTGCAGAGTGCTTGGAACTTGTCTGAATTGGAGATTTGGGCGGTAAGAATTGTTACTAATCATGATTTTTTCCCCATTGAAATGTTGATAATAGTACTGATTTTGTTTTCTGTCTAACAGGATAAGCAGATCATATACGACGAGAAAACTGTCACTTACTTGAAAGAACCAGGTCTGATGAAACAAAGTTTTAAAGGACTCCAGACTGTGACCATGCAAATGTTTAAAGGTTCGACATCTGAGCTGCTTCTTGTAAAGCTTCTGTTATTCTGCTCCCATCACTTGAAAGAATGTGTATTGAAGAGAACCAAGACCTTGACCCTCTTGAAAGGTTGAACACATCAAAGGAGTTGTTGCGGTTCTCACGAGCATCGCCTAAAGTTGAAGTGATTTTCGAACCAGGGAATTGAAACTTAGAAACTCTGTTTTCAATTTGTCAATGCTGGTTGACTGTATGAAGCACACCTTCCTCTTTATGGTGATTATCTCTATGTGGTATCTTCTTGTTTTTGTATTTGGAAAATCGGGATCTTAGTTTCCTCTTGATTTGTCAATACATTATCTTCTTGTTTTTCATGGAATAGCTTCTTTCTTGTCAACCTATCTAATTCAATTTAACAGCATGCGTTAAAACTGCTGCTCAAAAGTATCATCTGTGTTCGCCTGCAATGGCAAGGATGCTATTGATCAAAGTCACATAAAGATTGGAATCTCTGAATTTTGTTGTTTTGTAAGCTTAAAGAAACACCCTTTTTTTTGCAGTCTTATACATGGCCAAACTAATAAAAATGGATATAAAATGCACCCCAAACATCACAGAAATAGGACCTGTAAAGGTAATATTGCCTGCAGAAACAGTACCCTATTCTGTTTTGGGAACAGCTGAGCTAGGTGAAAATTTAGGGCCTAAATAGTATATGGATTCAGTTCTACATATTGAGATTCAAGATAGTTTTGAATCCCGGTTCAAAAACTCATGTATTCCATTGATAAAATTGAAATTTGATATAAAAAATTTTAGGTCAATTTGTGTTGCCACAATTGATACAGTAATGCCTTGTCCACGTTTTGCACAGCTGTTTATCAAGCCCAAAAGATGATACAGAGCAAGAATTTTTTCAATTGATGCGTTTGATCATTGTCAATTTTACTTCTTTTCAATTGCTCTCACTTATTCTTCCTTGTCCAAGTCTCCTTCTAGAATTCTATTTATATACATTGACTTGGATGACAAAAATAGTACTATTAAAAAACAAATACCAAGTAACTACTTTCAGCCTTTCAAGCATTGGTTTGATTTTTCCTCAACTTTACTGAATCTACCTCAAGGCTCTCCCTCCAACTCCAGCAATTTTTTTTTGTTTTGTTTTCTTTACAATTTCTATATTATGTAATAAAATTTAGTTTTTAATAATCATTCTAATTCTAGTTTTGTGCTTTGGAATGAGAATTTGTTATATGTTCCTAGACTAAGTCTGCATCCGGAATCTTAATGTATATAATACATTTAGCTATTAGTTTATATATTTGATAGTTAATAAAATGTGTTTATTCTTATGTGAATAGTGACTTTTTTTGTTTACTTTCTTCCACAATTGCTGCGGATCTATTTTCAACTTAATAAAATTTTTCAGCTTTGAATTCTGCATAAAAATGATAATTCAGATCACCACCAACCCCTCTAAAGCCCATTTCTAGTTATAGAATTGTACCTTATAATCCCACTAGAAGGTCTCTTAAATTGCTCAAACAAAACCTGCAAAGTTGCCAAGAAGACCTGCCTGCTCTGTTAGGTCAGTAGCCAGCAGACTTTCTGGCTAGGTTCCAGTGGCTCCAAAAATTGCCAGCCCCATCAATCCTTCCTTGTCAAAGATATGTGTTTCTTATCATCCT